TTATTGTCCTCTTTTATAAACATAATTCAATCCTATAACCATGCTACTTTGATTTTTTTTTTTCCTGTTGCTTCCTAGTTCTCACAGAATAGAGCTCATTCTCCTTAATTTGGCTTACAATGTCATTGCCAATGAGATCCTGGCCTACTTCTCCAGCCCGACGGTCTGCATCCTCCCCTCATACACTTTATCCTGGGATAACACTGAACATTCAGTTACTCAAATGCCTACAATGATCTGACATGCCCCTCCAACCTTCATACTGAAACCTAATCCCATTGTGGTGGTACTAGAAGGTAAGGTTTGGGAAGAGACTCAGTTCTGTGGGCTCTGCTCTTACAAATGTTGAAGGAAGTTACCTTGTTCCACCTACCATGTAAAGTTAGCAACAAGGCACCATTTATGAAGTAGACATGAAATATAATACCACCTTTAGCTCAAGATTTTCTAGCTTTGTATCTACGAAAAATTATTTTCTCTTATTTATAAATGACCGGATCTAAGGTATGTCATTATAGCAGCATGGACAGACTAAGACAATACTCATGCCATGCCTTGCTGCTGTGCTTTTGCACATGGTACTTCTTTTGCCTGGAGTACTCTTCTCATGCAAACCCAGGCATCTTTCAAGTCTTACTACAGACATTCCATTCTCCAACAAGCTTGCTCAGATCCCTAAATTAGAGATGGAGCCTTCTCAGGTAATCCATGACCATCCTGTCCTTTGCCAGTTGAGTTTTACTTGCAATTCCCTGCTACCTGTCCATATGCTTTGAAAGACTACAAACAATAGGGTGAACTTCTCTAATAAAAGAGCAAATACTAAATGCCTGACACACAGCAGGTACTCAAAATATTTTCAAATGAATGAATGAGAACTAAATTTTAAGAGCCAAAGCATCACTGTTTGCACTATAAGCCCTGTTATCTATCCACAGCAGTTTTCTTAAGACCTCGATTGGGCACCAATCCATTTACAACCTTAACTTGAAACATTCTCCATACTTGAAATCAGCCACTCTCATTTCTTCAAAATGACTCAGTAATTTAGCTGTCTCACTGACTGAGATCCAATTATCATGGCTGATTTATAATTCCAAACTGTTATTATACTGATATAAAAGCTTAGAAAATGGAGATTGTAATTATTCAAATGTATTGTTTGATTTACACATAGATATATTTATTACTTTTACAATTCTTTAAGAGACATTTAATCCCTGGGGCTTTTTGTTTGATTTAGGATTTTAATGATACTATGAATGGGAGACTATTTACTTAATTAAAATATATTTGTAGGCTGGGAGTACAGCTCAGTGGTAGGGTGTTTGCCTATCAGGTGTGAGGATAGAATACAAAGAAAATTATTTGCTACCAATAGCCCCTATTCTATGCTGGAGAAAGCATTCATATTTATCATAAGTTTCTTATTCACTAACAAATCCACATTCCCCTACCTAAAAAAATAAACAAAATAAAAAGTCTAATGAATTTCAAATATTGTCATAAATATTGCATCAAAATTCTTTTATCTTCATTCTATTCTCAAATGCATCAATGAAGTCTTTTGTCCCCCAAATGAAAGCTTAATCTTCATTTTAAAGTTGGAACAGTCCATGACTGAACAACCACAATAAATCTACCATTTAACATGTTTCTCAGATTTGGCTGAAGCCTACAGACCAAGTCAAGGGGGAAAGATATGGAGCATTCATTGCCAAGCGATGGCCGCAGCCCATTCTGATTTCCCATGAACTTGGAGAAGATTCAAATTCACAACTTGTTCCATAATTGCTTCTAGCAGCCCTCTCCCTAAGCATCGAGGCCCTGGCTCATCAGTCTTTTGCTGTTCAAAGAGATAAAAATAAAATCCAAATCACAGTTCTGGGAAGGATTACAGCAGTATGGACCCTTTCTCCTTAAACATGTTTTCTCTTCACACCATTACGTTCATAACTGAAGGTTTCCTTATTATCCATATAGGATACATTGGAAATGCAGAATACAAGGTGTTCAGTCAGTAGACCTGAAGGGGACAGAGACATAATCTTTATTACCCAGTGACACTGCTCGAGTGGCAACCTTTTGCTCCTTTCTCCTGAAAACTAGACTCCTGAGTTTTCATTGGGTGCATTCCTATCGATGAACAAAATAGAAACCCATAGTTCTCAGCCTCTCCTGCTGTTATGTGCAGTTAGGGAACTAATTTCTTACCTATAAAGTAAAAGGGAAACTGTTATCTGGGACTTTGGGGAAGTCCCTTAAAAGGGAGGAGGAGTAGCCTTATTCTTGTTGTTGCCTGGGATGTCACCGGGAGATTGCAGCTTGGGCAGTCATCTTAGCTTCTGAGGTAAGGATAGTTGGGCGGGGGGGAGGTGTCATATACCATCAACTTGTGTCCCTGATGGAGTCAAGCCTTGGATGTCTACCAGGTACTGAATACCTAACCAACATACAAAGAATGTATCTTCTTCAGCCACTGTAACTTTCATCATTTTACACTGCAGTATAACCTCCTTCCTACTGAGCAGCAATCTATAAATACCACGCACTATGGTAAATGCTTATATTACAGCACTCAGTAAGGTAGAGAAGCAATATCTCTACTTAATACATGAGAAAACTAAGGTTCAGAGTACTACATGATGGAACTCATGACATCACTGTGCTAAGTGGAAAAGTCAAAAATTCCTGTTTAGATTCTGGAATTTTTAGACTTTTTCCTGTTTCATTGCTGTACAGTGTGGTGGTAAATTTTTCCTGTGTTCCTTTAGCTAAATCTCTTAATATTCAAAATTAAGATTAAAAACACCTGCCTACTGTATGCAGTGCTGACGACAAGTGGGTTTATTATTGTGCAATGCACAGAAATCCTTAGGAAATAATCACTAATTTATGTATGTGATCAAAAGTATTTAAAAATATCTGAACACAAAGAAGTGAGTAGTTAAATAGGAAGCCTTAACTTCCAGCAGAGTCAAAATTAACCAGCTTGTACCACAAACCTATACATGTTTAAACTGGTTTGCAGAATCAAACTACAACACTAATTAATTTCCTCTTCTAGAAATCTATTCTGTGTGGCTTAGCATTTGGCTAGATTGTATTTAACTCTTTGGTTCACAGTTTTGCATTGTCATACTGCTGTGGTTACCTTTAAATAACAAAGGAAATGCAGACTGTGTGGTTCAAATATCTTTGGGCCTATCACCTAAGGACGATTTCAACCTGGTTGCCTACAAATACGACTTTGTGATTTTGGAAAAACCAGCCCACATAATTTGGCCTAAGATTTTATTGTTTTGTTTTGTTTTCCTCTCATTTCCCATAACTAGGACATAGGACATCAAAGGCTAAGATAACCTTTAAGATCCTGGGCTCCTGTATGAAAGCTGACACTGAAAAACTTAGTGGGTTATCGTCAAGAGTCCAAACAGATATGGACTCTAGTCCTGAATCTGCACTGAGGCAAATCATGTAACCTGTCTAAACTTTGGTTTTTCTCATTAGTTGCAAAGATGATTAAAGGAGATAATTTGTATAGCGTTCTGTATTAAGTTTCCCTTTGCTGCTGTAACCAACTATCACAAATCTAGTGACCTGAACTTAAGCAAATTTATTCTCTTGCAATTCTGGAGGGCGGAAATCTAGCATAGGTCTCTCTGGGCTAAAAATAAGATGTTGGCAGATCTGCATTCCTTCTGAATGGTCCAGAATCATTTGTGCCCACTGGGCTGTTGGCAGAAACTAGTTCCTCAAGGTTATGGAACCAAATTCCCTGTTCCCTTGCTGGTGACACTTCCACAATCTTCAAAGCCAGCAGCAGGCTGGCTCTCCTGGTTCAGGCCTCTCCTGTTGCTTCTGTAATGATCACAGTGCTCTGTGTTCCTTTTTCTCTCTTAAGCAGTCAGTTGAGAAGTTTGGGCCCACACAGATAATGCAAATTAATTTCTCCATTTTAATCATCAACCTTTATTTTGTCTCCAAATTTAATTACCTTTTGCCATTTAATGTAATGTAGCCGCAGGTTTCCTGGTTAAGGACATAGACCCTTTGGGGCTATTATTCTGCTCTCATTAAGCTGTGAGCATAATATCTGGCAAGTGGTAAGAATTTAGTAAATGGTAATTGTAGTCAATGTAAATGATTGTTCTCTGCAAGGTATTGATCAGAGTGCTTTGTCAATATGTATGTATTTCATCCAAATAACAATCTTCTTAACATGTGGTATGAACTGTTATCATCAATCCCATTAACCAATAAGGAAACGTGGCACGAAAAGATGAGGTCACCTCACTGGCTTAGTAACATGCAGAATTAATATGTGGATCCAGGTAATGTGGCTTCAGAGTCTTTTTTTTTTTTTTGAGACAGGTTCTATGTAACACAGACTGGCCTAGAACTCACTCTGTAGCCCAGGTTGGCCTTGAGTTCATGATCTTCCTGTCTCAGCCACTCATATGCTGGGATTACAGGCATATTCCATTATGAAGGGAAAAAGCTATGATTTTAACTAATCCCCATTCTGAATGGGCGTGTTATCATCCCCATGTCAGTATTAGTATGATAATGAGAAAACCAGGAAAGCCTTTACTTAAACTAAATACGACTACTGCTAATGTTTTTCTGGTGTGGAGTAACAATGTTAGCATTTCCCTTGGATGTTTTGTCATTTTATCATTTTCTCCTTCTTTTTCTTTGGATATTATCTTATATCTGGGACTGATATTTCTTTCTCATTCATATTGTCTCCCAGAGCACTGGGAAAGACAATCCTTGCGACAAGAAATAGTTTTATATGGGAGAAGTTATATCTCTACTCTCAGATTTCAAAAACTAATTTTTATCAAGACAAGAGTATTATAGACAAAACTACTACCAGTTTGATTCTTAAACCCATTCTACTGAGGTGCTACTGTATTGCATTTCATACTGAAAACCTACTTTGACTCTTCTGAAGACAAGGAGAAAATAAACCACTTTTTTGGACAACAGAATACCTTTCATGTCTGTGCACCATCACATCTCCTTTCTTCCAGGAACAGAGTGCCCTGGGGGAGGCTCTGGGTTTGCAATCCAAGTTTACCAGGCTTCCCACCTGTACCTGAACCAATTTTTTCATTGGGTTTCTTGAAAAATCTGGAGCAGAGGCTGAAGAAGAAGCAAGAAGAGAATGAGAATTGGGTCACTGATTTAATAAGAACTGGAGCATTTATTGACTTTCCTGTATACATGAAAGGTTGACTGCATAACCGTTTTTAAATTTTGTTTGACACACAAGATATTGGTGGTTGATTTACTTAATTTACTGGATGCCACAAACAGGATTTCAATGCTAAAAAAGTAATTTGTGCTACTGTGTTTAGGGTCAAGTTCTAAATCTCAAGACAATTACTTTATACAAGAACTGTTAATGATTACTGCAAAGGTTTAAAATACTTCAGTCATGAGTTTATTAAAGGAAATCATTTAGCCTAGCAAGTTTTTAAAAAGTTAGTTCCACAAGGGGTGATGGCTCAAGCTGTAATCCCACCTACTCAGGAAGCAGAGATGGGGAGGACTGTGGTCCAGGAGGGTCCAGGCAAAAAACAAGACCCTATTCAATAAATAAGTAAAGAAAGAAGGGCATGTTTCATGAGGAAGAAGACCTGCATAGCAAGTGCTAAACCTTGAGTTCAAACCCCAACATCAAAAAAAATTCATTGAGGGCTGGGATGTAGCTCGGTGGTACAGCGCTTGCCTAGCATGCGTGAGGCCCTGGGTTCGATCCCAGCACCAAAAAAGAAAAGACAAAAAAAAAAAACCTCTCCCCCCAAAAAATTCATTGAACATAGGGATACAGACATAGTGAATTTGTCTGTCTGTCAACCTCTAGGGCAAAGTACCTGGCAAAGGGCCTGGCATTTGGCAGGTGCTCACACAGGGTTATAGGAAGAAGGTGGAGTAGTGATCAGTCATACAAATTCATCGAGTTCTATAGAATTCATCAAATTCTGGTATAAAACTCTCATATGATTAAGTTTAACTTCCAAGTTGGAGAAAGGGACTATAATATGGAAATTATATTAAATAATATAATCTAACACTAAATATAATATCATGTACAAAGCATGAGATGCCAATCCTGATTGAACACTTAAACATTCAGGATACAAGACAATGTAATCATATATTAATCAGAAAATCACTTCCTTTTACTGCACATGTGGTAAAAAAGTTAAGAACACAGTGCATTTCCCCAATTATCTAATTATCTTATGACAAATCCAAGTACAAATCATATATTGTTTTGATAAGTGGACATCTTTCAGTGAATTATAATATGTGATAATATATGATTGGACATGTTGTAACAAGATAATAACAAGACATGTTATCCAGAGTTGGACTTACAAATCATCATGTAAAATACTTTGTATATATGCCATATTTTTCCTTCAATACCACTACAACTCCACTCAGTGCAGAAGTAGAAATATGTCCATCTTAAAGGTGAATAAATGATGGCTTCATTTATTAGGAGATTACAGTATGCTCCAGCTTAAGTTTTTATGTAAATCCTTCCTCCTTTGTTATAATGTATTGGCTCGTAGCAATTATATTTTCATTGGTGATCTACCCGCCCCAAGTATCAGTCCTCCTGTTACAGATGACCTGTTTTTAACATTCAGACACCAGAGATGAGAGACCTACTTGCCAATAATCCAGGGCTCCTCAACACACCTTACACTCTGTACTGGATATTTATTTGTTGTTAAAGGCTGTCTTATGCATTGCAGGACATTTAACAGCCTCTACTCACATGATGCTAACATTACACAAGGTTCCTCTCCCTTCCCTATTCCTTAGTAATAATGACCAAGAATACCTCCAGATACTTCCAAATACACCTTAGGGGCAAAACTGTCCTCGACTAGAACCACTGAGTTAAGCCAATCAGGGCTTTAGAATCTTCAGGCTACAGGGAATGGGGCAGTGATAGGCAGTGACTCCAATCCAGTCGCAGGAGGCCAGTGACCTGCAAGACTATGGCTTCCATTTGAGCAATTAAAAAAGTCATTTGCTTCTTCACTCTATTGACTGTGGCAATAAGCTCAACATTCTGGGAAACATGATACAGAACCTGGCAAGAGGGATGATAACTGAGCCATGGACTATGGGGCAGAAATCCAAATTCTCCATTTTAATTACATGAACTGATAACTTCCTTCCTTCCTTCTTGCTCCCTCTCTCCCTTTCTCTCTACCTTCTTTCCTTCTTCCTCCCTCCCTCCATCTCTCTTTACCTCCCTGCCTTCCTTCCTATTTTGTGCTATGCCATGTAGCTTTTCCTGAATTTTCAGTTACTTTAGCATCTCAAGTGTCATTCTGAGAAACTGCCCTAAATGGAAAGAACATTTTCCTTTTTCTCCTACATCTAAAGGGCAAGAAGAAGAAATTTAATTTATAATTTCAAGTAGCAGAGACTTGGTTACTTCAATATGCCCAGTGTTTGATGCTTCTAACAGGGTTAAGAAAAACAAAAGCAACTCCTTTTGAATCAAATGTTATTGATCCAAATTTTGATATTTGCTTTTTTGGATCAGCAACAAAGAACACCAAAACACTTATTATCTTAAGAAGCATTCCTTAGTTCACAATACTGGAGCTGAAAAAGGATATGGCAAACCAGCTTATTCTTCCCTCTGCTGATTTAAATCAATCTTTGGGCCTTAATTCTGGCCATCACTGCTGCTTTTCTTTCCTTTTGTTTTTTTAAGGAAGATAAAGCATTTTTGCTAGTTAAGGATAGCTATATAGAAATATTCCTAGCATTGCTTTCATATATACACGTGTTATGACCCATGTTGATTCATCTCTAGCTGATCTTTACACTGGCTACTAATTCCCTTCTCATGATAACCTCTGTCACTTTAAGGTTTCTGTATTAGTTCCTCTGGAGTGGGGACATCAAACGCTTTCATGTTTTGGGTAAATTGTTTAGATGCATGTCTTGACGAAAAACCCTGAATAAGCATGTTGTACTACTATAGTCATGATTCGATGTAGGAAACTAACATAAAAAAAAAAGTTCAACTTCTAGCAATAATGGAGGACGTAATGGGAAAGAAAAGACAACAGAGAAAAATTAGTCTTACCGACAACCTTGAGTTCGGCACTAGAATAGACAAGGCCGTGTTTATTTTCTGCTATGCACTGGAACATGCCAGAGTCAGTCACGTTGAGGTTTGATATTGTCAGGGCACCATTTTCTATCTGTATTCTCTCCTAGATGGTAACAAAAAATGTCTTGCATATAAACAAAACTTTAGAAGAAAAATGAACATTACGGACCATCATTTCAATCTGACATAAAACGCCAAAGTTTTCCTCAGAGTATTAAGCAGTCTGACCTGAAATTTAACCTTTTCCTTCTCTGAAATGTGAAAGACACTTTGGAAATACAAATAAACACCATTCAGTCCCAAGGTACCAGGAAAATAAATACTGAATGAAGAGGTAAAACACGGCAGACATTTCATTTTTCACTTATAGTTTAAGTTTCAGACTTTAAAAAAATGTATCAGGAGATTGATTTTCCTCTTGCCAACCGGAAAAATTGTCATAACAATTTTTAAAAAGTCAAGAAAGCCATAAACATTATAAATTCAGTGCGTTAAAAGGGTTCTGAGAAACACATATTTACCAGGGTTTTTAGCAAGTTTGAATAGTTATGTATAGAAATTTAAATGAACATAATTGGGTTAGTACACCGAAAAAAGAGCAAAAATTACATGGCTTAAGAGGGAAAGTGAGAAAATAAGTACTCGTGTAACAAGGTAACCAATTAATAGAGACATTTATGCTCCAGAAGCCATACCAAGTTGTCAAATAGCAAAAGGAAATTATATTTTACATTGATTAAAGTAAAGCCTTCTCTAGTGCCAATATCCAAAAACATAGTTATGTTATTTTTGCAGAGTAACTTCACAAAATCAACTTTGTCCAGTGAAAGGCATATTTGGAAGACCTCCTCCCTGGCAAACTAGCTGATTAGTTTTATATTATTCCTCCTGTACCACTCCTTAGATGCAAATGAAAGTGAGCACATGCAACAGTTTTCTTTGATGCTAAGTACTAAAGAAAGCATTTACTTAATACAAAGCAGGTACAGAGTGGAGTGATGGGCAGGCTACCTTACCTCTAGCATCAGGGCTTCTCCATTTTTTAGCCATCTGTAGGAGGGTTTGGGCTTGCCACTCGCCCGACATTCCCAAAAAAGATTGTCCTCCACAGCTATTTCCACATCTTTTATGAGCTGAACCCAATGAGGCTTCGCTATAATGGAAAAAGGAAACAGGAAACCATCCAGCAAATAAAAAATAAATACCTTTCCAGGTAAATATAAATGAATATAAGACTATGAGCAACAGATTCAAGTAAACATAGACTAGAATTATTTAATTCACTAAGTGTATGTTCTAGATTTGAGGGTGGTTGTTAAAACCTACCATTTCCTAAACCAAATTCATTATGCTTTCTCTATTTTCAAAATTCTGAGACATATATTATATTTTTCAGCTCTCTATTAATAGATAGGGATCCAGATACACAAAATTATTTTCTAAGTGTATTTTCAAATCATGAGCTCATAACTGATGGCAACTTAATAAGTGAATGACAGCAGACATTGGTGTTGATGAGCTAAATATTAACACCATGGGAGAGAAACTTATAGCTGAAGAAAAAAAGACTTCCTTCAAGTTAGAAATAACTCTTAATTAAATACAAAGCAGTGAACATCTTCCAAACTTACAAGTGAATTAAAAATGAAAGCAGCAAAAGATGGATAAATTGGTTTAAGTTCAATCGTATGATTTTTATCATAAAAAGAACTGATACAACTTTAAATTATGTATGCAAATCAGTTGGATTGAGTAGATTAATCGCTTTCACTTATGTTTTATAAGGTATTTGGAAAATTCTTTTTGCAGATGAAAGCAATATACCACTTCCAATGAAAGCCACTCGATATACACGGTTATCGAGCCAAGTCTCAGCTTGTGTTTTAGATCCAAAACTGAGAGGTGAGATGCCTAACTGGTTTCACATTGCATTATGCATGTGATGTGTACTGCAGGATTCACATTTGCATCCTCCATATGGAGAAACGGTTTATCTATTTCTATTTAATTGCAACCATGGGAAGATTTGTCTTTCCAGTTCCATCTCATAAAATTGCCTTTTTGTAAATGAAACTGAAGTGAAACTATGGCTGTTTAGCTTTTCCTAAAAATGTACAAGTCTAAGTTTTTCCTTCTTTGTGTTTTATATTCAACACTACTGGCACAATATGAAGCAAGTTCAGCTCCCAAATAACCCCTTTCACTTTATATTAAAACACATTTTCCTCTTTCAGGAATTATCAGCCTGAGATGGAATGTGACTGAAAATACACATGTCGGAGCTTCTGATGGAGACCTGAGTTCCTAGCAAATATTCCCAGGAGCTGCCTATGAAAGGACAATGTCCTGCACTAAGCCAACCCTGAGATTCAAACAGCCATGTTAACTGTACTTCCCCCTTGACCATCACATGAGAAACAACTAGTCCATCACACCATTTTTTAAAGGCCTTACTTTTAATACGTTTTATTGGTACACATTAAATTGTACATAGGAAGGGCTTCATCATGACACCTCCTCACACGCCTAATGACATATTGTCATCATATTCATCCCCCCTTTCTTTTCTTCTTCTTCTTCTTCTTCGTGTGTGTGTGTGTGTGGTACTGGGAATTGAACCCAGGGCCTCACACACCCTAGGGAAGCTTTCTACCACTCGTACCATGGCCCCAACCTTTTTATTTCTATTTTGTTTTTGAGTTAAGGTCTCACTAGCTTTGCCATGGCTGCCCTGGAACTCATGATCCACCTGCCTCTGCTTCCCAAGTAGCTGGGAATAAAGGTATGCACCAGCATACCAGGCTTATAACATGATTTTTCATATGGAATATTAAAGCAATAGGGAACTACATGGCATTTATTGAATATACTAATCTTAAGCCAAAAGCACAACTTTCATAAAACTCTGTTGTTAATCTCTAATTCATTTACTAGGTACTAATCAGATTGTCTACAAAATGAACTAAAGCAATAGTCTTTCTTCTTTACTCAGTACAGCAGATGCTGTTTGTTTTCTATTGTGCATTTATTCCTTCTCTTTCTCATTCCTAAAATAACCCCAATTTTTCATTTTGTTATCCTCTCCTCTGTCAGTTCCCATTGTCCATAAAATCTAAGGAAATGTGATTTTATACTCTGTTCCAAAGGGAGGCTCTTAAATTGTATAATCCAATTTTTCCTCACCAGTGATTAGTTTACACATGAACATTTGAGGAGGGATCTGCTAGATGTCCTAGAGAAAGGCAGAATGAATAACAATTGATGTGCTGCTCATTTTTGGTAGCCATTTGGTGATTACAATGGAAACTAACATGCAGGAAAAGGAAAAGGATATACAGGGCAGAGCAGAAAAACATCAGAAAAACTGACCCCTGGCCTGATGATGTTACTTAAGTGCTAGTTTAGCTTTGGATTTCTCATCAGATGAGGCATACAATTATGCATTATTTATGCACAGATGCTGTTTGATAGAGCTAAAAACACACTGAAAGAGTTGGATACCTTGTGTTTTCTCATAATGGTCACTTCTGACCCTAGTAGTAGTGGTCAGTCAGATGCCCAGAAAGAAGGAGCTAAGCTAGTGTGTGAGGCACAGTGGATGCTTTGTGGGGGCCTTATAGCTACTGAGCCACATGGGATAGGTATTCACCTCCTTCTTACCACCCCACCTTTTCAACATCATCCCACAACTCATATAGCCCTTGACACCCTGGCACACTTCCTTATAAACTAAAGCAAAAGGGTAACAAGATGGGAGAATTACAAAACAGAATGATTCATGCTACTAAGCCATGCCTCCATTTTGTTCCTGACAGATTGTAAAATCTAATACATCACAAATATTAATCTAGTCAGAGATAATTACTTAAAAACTTTAAATTTTTAAGGGGGGGCAATTACAATACATCTTATAATTTAAACATGCAATGTTTCTAATGATTAAACTGCAAATATGTATTCATTGAGTTTATATTTTCATGTATTTTACAGGTACATTTTTTAAAAAGTCATGTATTTATACTTTCTAAATCATGGTTTCACCAAAACCTAGTTTTTTTAAATAAGAAATTTGAAAAAAGATTTTGAAAAGAAAAAGACAATCTAATTTTTCTAAAACTAGACTCTAAATAAAGTTTAACATTATTATTATTTCCTTACCTAAATTGAGCAGTAAATCAAGTAAATGTGATTACAAATTAAAGGCGGAAAGTAGAGTACAGATATGTTATTGGAAGGGACACAATAATACTGAGTAACTCAACAAGATCCTGAGTTTATTTGGTTTGTGTAATGCAGTAATTGCAACTTTTCCCAGTAGGCAGATTTTTCTGCTAAATATAGGTAATAAAGAAAGACATAAAAACCACCCTTTCTAGAAGAGTGGGCAGATAGAAAAGAGATGTATCTTTCTCTGATGCATTTAAGAGTGGAAAGGGTCATTCTTAGCAAAACATATGAAATATTTTGTGATCATATGAATCATTTTGAAATGTAAAAGGAATGCCTCCAGCATTCTTACAAAAATTTCTATGTAATTATTTCCTTCTATGATAAATCTTTATTCTCATCTAACCAAAATGTGAATAAGATGCAGAGCAGACAAGTTCAACATTGAGATTATGCTGTAACCTTCCCCCAACCCCCCAAACTATACTTGGTAGATGAGAGAGCTTCAGGTACAAGTCTACTTTGCCCAAAGCAGATGCTCACCATAGTAAGTGAGACGCCCTCGGGCCACATTTTTTCCTCTTGAATTCTCAGCAATGCACTCATAGGAACCTGCATCTTCCTGTTGGAAATTGGGGATTTCAAGCACACCATTGAACTTCCGCAATTTAATTTTGCTGGAAAATGGCATTCCATCACTTCTTCTCCAATAAATCTGTGGTACAGGACTAAGAAAATCATCAAATAGTTTGCTGTTCTGTGGAAGACTTTTGGACTTGACAAAAGAAAGCTTCAATTAAGTTAGACTAAAAGGCACAAGTTTCAAATGAAGAATACTTCCAGTTGTCAACTGCATAAATGCAATGCAAAGATTTAACTTTTTACTTTCTGGTTTTTTTTTTCTCCTTTTTTTTTTGAAGTAGGGGCTGGCTATGTAACCCAGGCTAGCCCAGAATTCATGGTCCTCCTGCTTCCACAACCAGAGTACTGGTATTACAGGAGTGGCACCATTTCCAGCCATATTTAACTCTGTAACTTGATATTCCAGTGAAAAAACTATGCATTTTTTGAGTCAGTTCATGATTTACAGAAAAGCATTCTAACACATAATGACAAATGGAAAAGAAAAAGACAAAATAGCACTAATTTAGTTTATGAAATAGGGCAGACATAATCAACATCTCCAAATTGTTTTTAAAGTTTCAAACTACATTATATGTGTGTGAATTTTTCCTACACTTGATTATCCCTTTACATCTAAATGAAAGTATATCTTAGAAATTAAAGAAGAGACGAATCTGTCAAACCACCCTGATCTCTTACAGCATATTTAATTACTATAGCAAATAGAAATGAAGATTTTCAAACTTACTTTCCAAGTGCAAAACACTCTAATTTCACAGGTGACCCTTTAGCTGCTGGAAGAGTTTCAGGAAACTGAACTTCTATTTTGGGCTCATATTCACCCATTATTCCTGTAAACCCATAATACAAAGTTGACAGTGTCAATATTTCCTTTGGAATGACCTTGTTTTTTTAAATAATACTTTCTTTTGCTCCATCTTGAATGTGTTTCTTTTTTTTGGGGGGGGATGGTTTTTTATTTTATATTTATTACATTATTATTGTACTGGGGGTACATTGTGACATTTGCAAAAGTGCTTACACTAAACCTTAGTTAAATTCACTCCCTCCATCATTCTCCTTTATTCCCCTTCCTTCTTACAATAGTTTCAATAGATCTCATTTTTCCATTTGCACACATGAGTACATCATATTTCTACCATATTCACTCTTCAACACCCTTTCCTTATATCTTCCCCACTCCTACTGGTACCAACCCCCCAGACAGGACCTGTTTTACCTTCCTATTTCGATTTTGAATACAAGACATTTTTGTTAGTTTACGATATCTATACATGGAGTTTAATTATGACATTTCCATATATGCATGTATTATATCCCAAATTAGTTCATCTCCATTTTTCTCCTTTCTACCTCAGTCTGCTAATTATACCATCTGCTTCTTTTAGTGATTTAAATTACTCGTTAGTACTAACCTGGATCAAACATGCAGCCTTAACAGCATTTAAGGACTTTGGATTCACTGATTTATAAATGATTGTCAGCTTGTCCATGCAGAACATTTGCAAGAAAACCATTTCATCTTTTATAAAATGGGAGAGCTCTAAAATTCTGTATTCAATTTGGACATGTCTAGTCAAACTGAAATATACAATGTGTTAAGACTCCCTGAAATTTTCTTAGGAACAAAAGTTACAGCAGGAAATTCTCTTAATGTTACCCTGGTAGCATAGGTACTAATCTTAAACTTATTAAATGGCTCCCTAGAGTCATGAAACAGTGACTTACTAAATAATAAAAGTCAAATTCAGTTATAACTGACTGGAAGGAGGTGTTCTGATGCTTTGTGATTGTGGAGCTGTGATTTATCAGACATGGTTTAGTTGCGATGGGTCAGGCTTATAAATATCTTCTGCTAGAGCTCATAGACTCCTTAAGCAGCCATCCAGGTGTTGATGAAATGGATTCTTTTCTTTAATTTTTTAAGTGATGATTTTTACGTTATAACAATATATTCAGAGTTTAAAACCTTCATGCTAGCAAAGTTAGAACAGGTGACTTCAAGAACATTCTGTTTAGGAACACTTCATACCATCAGAACGTAGCACCAAAGGAGTTGGGGAGCCCAGTACTCTGGCATTTGTCACTGTACTTGTCACCACACATGTGTAATTTCCCACATCAGATGGTTCCACCTTAGCTATGTAGAGGTGTCCTGTCTCTTGAGAAACAAATCTCCGACTATCTTCTTCAACAAACGATGGATACTCATTGAAGATCCATGCATACGACAGTTCTAAGAAAGTATTTGAAGAGAGAAACGAATTACATTATTAAAGAAAGTTTTCCATGGAAGATTAGAAATACACAAAATTACCTGTACTTCAGATAATGCTGAGTGTTTCTGCTGCAGTTCATGAAGTGAGGGAGTTGGTGAAGTGATCCTGTATGCATTATTATTACAGAGAAACTGGTGAGTACCATCTTGTGGAAACACCACCACTACTCTCACCATTATTCCTTTTCCAATCATGCCCTAACAAGCCTCTCTGGCTTGAGTCTTGCTCCTTTTTGTGTCTTCACACTGCACATTTTATGATAATCTCAAAATTACTCATCTAATCATGGTGATTTCTGACGTTAAACTTTTCATAATTCCCTAATGGAATAATGGAAAATGTGCACCCACATATAAGATCCTTCTCAGCCAAGCTCCTGCTCAAGGTCTAGCATCTGAGATACCCTTGCTCTGTCTGCATCCGAGTCTTTGCACATGATGGTACAGGAACTTTGTCCTTGTCCTTTCTTGTGCTTTCTCCCCTCTCAACACAAATCCCGTTCTGCTGAGGAAACTTCTGAATGGTTGCAAAGTTTGCTTCCCACATCAGGAGTTAGCTCCTCAGAGAAATTTTCCTTAATCTTCCTTATCTGGGTTGGGGCTCCTATACAGAACTCTGAGTTCATTTCAAATAAAGCATTCATCCCCTATGATGTAGTGTTCTATTGACCTGTCTGTACTTGTGATAACATCCAAGTGATGGCCATTTTTTTTTTTTCAGTTTGGAGGCTGATTCTCAGAAATAGGACCACGGGAGTTTCTGGAGCAAAGCTGCTACCACCTACCACAGAAGCCACACCTTTTGTAGCAATAAGTAAAGGATTTCTACTCATACCAGAGAGACCTAGTAACAAGATGACCCTTCTTTCTACCCTATAAAAAGAATCAAGTCAGAAGGGCATTTTTGAGAACAAACTCAGAGCTTACAACATTGTGTCTTCTCTCCAATTATGTTGAAAACAGACTTGCCAAAGAAAACAAAAAAAACAAAAATCTAAGGAGAATATCACTCAGAATGCAACTAAAATGACTTTGGATATTCTACAGACCAAAAAGCACTTGCATCATGATTATGTCTCAAATGGCTTTTTTTTTTCCTTTTTCTTTTATTATTCATATGTGCATACAAGGCTTGGTTCATTTCTCCCCCCTGCCCCCACCCCTCCCTTACCACCCACTCCGCCCCCTCCCTCTCCCCCCCCACAATACCCAGCAGAAAATATTTTGCCCTTATTTCTAATTTTGTTGTAGAGAGAGTAGAAGCAATAACAGGAAGGGACAAGGGTTTTTGCTGGTTGAGATAAGGATAGCTATATAGGGCATTGACTCACATTGATTTCCTGTGCATGGGTGTTACCTTCTAGGTTAATTCTTTTTGAACTAACCTTTTCTCTAGTACCTGTTCCTTTTCCTATTGGACACCTTTTAAGGTGTCTACTTTAGTTTCTCTGCGTTGTGATGGCCATTTTTATTCCAACTGCTTCTGACTCCTCCAAAACTAGAAAAATGAAACATCTAAAAACATATAATATTTTTGGGGTTGATTAGGGACAAAATTATGTTGCTGAGAGTGAAATCCACAATAAGAGTTTTTCATAAACTTTGGGGCCAAGGTCAATAACTTTCTGTAAATGAACTATTGTTCTCCTAGCTCTAATAGGGCTAAATAAGATTATGCTGTGGGTTCTGGATACCTGGATTGTTCAGAGCCAAGTTGATACTTAAGCACATTTACTGAAGTTGTCTATTGGCTTCCTCCTTCCTTGGCTCTATTTTCCTTCACAATCGCACTAACCTTACTTCAATGGTTAATTAACATAAAGTCTTTCCAAAGCACTTTTAGAAAACACATGCAATCACATTAAATTTAATGAACAAGTGCCAATACATTTGAGTCATAATTTCGATGGAAAAAGATCTTTCTCTTTGGGAGAGAGCAGAAGTAAATCAATATACAAATCAAAATGAGAGGGTGTACATGAGGTTTGGTTGAGAGTGGCTGTAGGTTTCAGAGGAAGGGGAGGTGACATTCTTTCATGACTGAAGAACAGATATAAAAGGTCAGTAGAACACTCAGAGAAACAGGAACAAAAGCCCTCCAGGTACAGTGCAGAGCATAGGAAAGGCCAGCAGGAGACAGAAATTACTAAGAACCCAGAGGAAATGAACCATGTTGACCACTTCGCCCAACAACGCAAAAGGCTTCACATCTCTGAAGACTGGCAAATCCATCACAAAGTGTACATTCAGAAACAGCTTATACTAAAATAAGAATGGTTAATAGAAAGAACTTGGATTCAGAGCCCAAAAATCTAAAATCTGGGAAGTTCATTCAATAGAATACTATAAAGTTATGAGAATGTACGAACAATGACTTCACGCAACACCTTGGAACAAATATCAGAAATGTAACTTTCATTTTGGTGATTCTGAGGTTTGAACTCAGAGCCTTACTCTTAATAGGCAAGTGCTCCACGACTTCAGCTACATCCTGAGCCCTTTTTGCTCTACTTTATTTTTCAGGTAGGGTCTCACACTTTTTGCAGGGGGCTGACCTAAGATCATAATCCTCCTACCTCCACCTCCTGTGTAGCTGGGATTACAGATGTGCCCCACCACACAGTCTCATACATGTAATTTTGATTGTAAATGTTCAACTTACAATAACATGTTGTATGACTTAATTTACAATATTTCTTTCACTCCTAAAAATAACACTATTATTACTTAAAGTATTGTGGCAGCATTTCATTATTATAGAGATTGTGATGCCTTTGTCTATGTGACATAGTAACTGATAAGATTATTTTAAGGATGCTCACAAAACAAGCATGAGGAAGTGAGTACGGATACATCTGGGCTGAACTCTGGTTGACATGGAAGCTTCCACTTAGGTCTCATTTCATGAGAACCTACTGCATAGGACAGCTGACTGATGACTTCTACCTGCTACCCCATGGGCACTGTGGCCACACGTCCTGGGGCTACCCCAAATTTAGTGCATTCAATGACAGTGTTAATGCTGGCCACTCTTACCAGATTTCTCTAAGGAGCAGCTCCAGCTTGGAGACTCCACTTGGTAATGGTTACAATGTTCTGAGAACTGTGCCACAGTTTGATACTCTGTCTACCCAAGACTGATTCCTCTGAGTTTGCATAGATACAGGACCTAAATTTCAGCCTGAAGGTCCCACTGCCAATTCCCCTTCTCTCTCCCTTAGGCTTCATAGGTCCTTCCGCAGTAGTCTTTTGCAAGTCTTATCCTCACACTTGCTAGGCAGGTGCTCTGCCACTTGAGCCATTCACTCAGAGTTTTTTGTTGTTGTTGTTGTTTTTGCTTTCATTATTTTTCTGACAGGGCCTCACTCTTCTGCTTAGAGCTGGCCTCAGACCTTAAAGAGATCCTTCTTCCTGTGCCTCCTGTGTAGCTAGGATTATAGTTGTGAATCACCATGCTTGGATTATTTGTTGAAATGTGGTATCATTAACATTTTGCCTGGGCTGGGCTGGAACTGATATTCTTTCCATCTCTATCTCTTGATTAGCGGGGATTATAGAAATAGGGCATTGTACATAGCCAAGCCTTGTCCTTCAATTCCATTTTGGTTTCTGCTTCCCATCAACCTAAACTAGAGGAGGTGGCTGAAATTGATTAATAAACTATTCAGAGCCCAAAAATCTAAACTCTGGAAAGTCCATTCAATATAATACTATAAAGTTATGATAATGTATGAACAATGACTGACCCTGCCTTTGACTCTGGAGGGAATGCCCATTTTCAATGATTTCCTTTCTTAGGGGTAAATGTTCCTTCCTCTCTTCAGTTTCTATCAAGATCATCAATCCCCTCACCTTACCACTGGGCTCTTCAAATACACAAAATGAGTCCTGACTGGTGGCTGGTACCTACCCTGCCCAAAGATAAAGACCTTTAGCAACCCAGTGTGAAACAATGTCTGGCTTCCCTGCTCTCATCATCAGTAGACCCCTCCCCTCTGTGGGATACATAAATGAGCAGAGACCCTAAACCCTCCAGCATAATTTGGATGACAAATGGCAAGAAACTGCTCTTTTGTGGTTAAGATTGATGCATTCTTCTTTAAGAACCAGTACTGTCAGGCAGATGTAGGGATCCATCTCACTGGGGTGTACTGATGATCCCCAAATTACAAAGAGCTTACCTACATCCTTGAGGATGTTAATCACACTCATGACCCTCACTGAACTACACAGAATATACACAGCCTATACATTTTATATTATAGAAAGACATTTTGGTTTTAAAACACTTCCTTTCTCTTCATATCCAAATGTCATAGTTTGTATAATTCTGAATTGAAAAACATCAGGTTGTAACACTCAATTATACAGAAAAATGTATTTTTTTTAAAAGCTGGGATATTGGCAAAGAGCACAGTGAATAACACAACGGTCTTCTCAGAAAATCAAGAGAATTCAGATCCTAGAATAAGGTTTTGAGGTGGGGTGAGTAGAGGAAACAGAGGAAGAAGGAAGGGGTGCCACTGGGGACTAGAAATGGTGGTACTAAAAAGATGTTTTGAGACCCAGGCAGGGAATGGAGAAGTAAATGACCAGTGAGTAATTAGAACATCTAATTAAAACCTTAAGTGACAGTTTGGGTCTAATATTAGTGTGGTAGGTAAAGTAACTGCTCCCAGAAGTCTAGTTCCTGAAACCTAGGAATATATCACTTGACATGGCAAGAGTGATCTCTAGGCATCAATAAAATAAAGCTCTTTAGATGGAGGGATGGTCCTGGATTATCTAGGTAGGTCAAATGTTGGTATTTATAGGCATTCATATAATAGAGAGGCAGGAAGGTCACAGTCAGAGAGAAGGAAATGAACAAACAGAAGCAAGGGAGGTAGTCAGAAAAAGGCATTGTGAGATGCTACACTCTTGATGGAAGAGGCTATAAGCCAAGAATGTAGGTGGGC